CCTAAATTTTTAGGATGTCTTTGCTAGCAAGGGATTCAATGGGCTATAATAATAATAATAATAATAATAATAATAATAATAATAATAATAATAATAAAATTATCCTATTTAACTACAGAGGTTTCTGTCGTTTCGATAGCTGTGATGCGGTTATTCAACCCCCATACACTCTAGTGGTAATACACAACAGCACATACGTCTTGCATTATTTCTAAATTTACAATTTTCTCAAATTCAGAGAGTTCAATGAAAATAGACATGCGCCATTCTTTAAACATTCCTTTCTCGATCTGGGGGGGTGAGATTATAGAAAAAAATTGAACTATTATTGAAAAACATGTTTTGTGGCTTCAGGTAAAGCACCCTCTAAATAAAAGTTTGCTCTCTTTCAATAAGCTGCTGTCAAACAAGGCTATTTAATTCAGATTTGTCAACTGTGAAGAAATGAAATCAGTCCTTAGTTTCACAATATGGATAAACCTACGAAAGCATACGAATTCACAAACATTCGCGCCCGCGGGGAGCAGAATCCACGACCCTTTGAGGCAAGGCAGCCTTAGCGGCATCGGCCACCCAGGGCGGAAAGGCACGGGGCAGCGGGTCCGGCGCATCGACTTTTGCTCGTTCTATTGCCAACCCCTGGTATCGAAAAAGTTGCAACATATTGTTGCTATACATAGTAAATTACTTCCTCTAACGCGTTGTGACGTCAGAATGCACTTTTTGTGGGTCCTAGTTACAGAAAAAAAATCGACTGACAGTATCAGGTCTGTCTCTCCGTCGGTCAGTTCGTCGGTGTCTGCACAACGCTAAGACCAAAACCGTTCAGCCCTTTTCTCCAAAATTCATATCCCTCGGCAGATTTAAAGAAGCTAGTGGCGCAATGGATTTTATTGAAGTTTGTCCTTGAATAGTGTGAAGAACGCAGATGGACACAGAATAGGACAAGGTAGTACAAAGAATATCGCAGACTTACTTTCGTTGAACCTTCTAAATTTTTGGAAATTTCACATTAAAAAAATGTGAGAAAGTATGCTCTGCTGTAGAAACACCACTAGTTGGCATTCAAATCATTCAAATCTAGCACTAGATACGTCACGAACCACGTGATCACACACGGGCACTTCGGTTCAAAAGACAGACCAGATGCTGCATAGCATGCGAGAAGTATTGGGAGACATTTTAAAGCGGCATAAATTGGCAATTTACAATGGTGACCAACCAAAAATAAAACGATCAAAGTTTCATTGAATTAAAAGATGCAATATTTTACATAATGTTTCATATATCTGTTTTAATGACTTATAACGAGGTATCTGGCTGAATTTAAAATTCGCACCAACAATGTCACGCAAACTGGTGCATGAAGCTCATTGGCCGAAGCCAATTGTCACGCAAACTGGTGCACGAAGCTCATTGGCTGAAGCTCGCCCACGTTGCTTCATCGTAACCGCCCAAGGAGCGGTGTGCCAGTGGCTGCATGCGCCCACTGAGCTCGAGGTAGCAGTGCTCAGGCGTTGCCAACTAAGCGGAACGAAATGAACACGGCCGACGCGGAGGTCGTGCGACTTCATTCTCAAACACAGGAAGAGTTGTAGCGCAAGACTCTCTTAATTGGCGTATTCTCCAGCCAGAAATATTTAATTAGTGTGCCAGTCGCACATGTTATCGAGGGACTCGGGTATTAGTATGTTTAAAAGAAGTTCATTTTTTGTGATTACTCGTCTCAGTAGTTTCATTTATCTGTAACGATCGTTTTTACTTTTTCGTGTTCGCAGAAGAAATTAAGTTGTGTAAATTAAACAACTTATTGCCGCTGCGTACACAGGGTACTGCGGCAAAATATCGATGTCGAGATTTTGCCAGACGTTTTGGACCATCCTGTAAGATTTTTTTTTTTTCAAAACTGCGTCCGTCCTTATTTCTGTCCGTCAATTTGTGAAGAACATTATAGCCTAAACCACAAGTAGAATTTTCACCAAATTTAATCGATCGATTGAATCGATCTGATTGTAATCAGCTGGTTAATTGAGGAGTTAATTGAGTACAATGAAGAAGCTGACCCTTCATCTCGTCCGGGGCCCTGCCCCGCTGGGGAGAGATTTCTGAAGGGGTAAATTCCCTTCAAGTCGGATCTAGTCTTACAGCGGTTGAAGGAATCACGGGGACAAAACATTCACTACACTGGCAGGAGCAATAATGTGCCGCAGTTATGAAACAACGCTCGCTTCCAGTGTGCTCTCGTGGAGCTTACGTAACCGCGAGTAACGAGCAGCTCGTGCCATATAACGACTGGAGAAGTGCGCTTTTTGCCCCGCGCATTCTCGTAATTCTTTGCCGGGTCACGTGACGTCGGCCGTCCTCTTCGTACGACGGCGCGATGGTCCGTCTGCGCCGGTGATCTTCTTCTTACCGCGGATCGTTGGAGGCCAATTTGGGACACGCAACGGCGAACAATTGAAGAACGCGCGACGTGCGCGGCCCATCGCTGGTGTCGGAGGTGCGTCGTTGCCGTGCGACCAGCAGGGCGGCGGCGGCGGCGGCTCGCAGACAAGTGAAGACTGACTTTCTTTTACCACCGAGTAAACTACCATTTTGGGTCTTCGTAATAATATGGCGTTTTATTCCCTAGTGAAATGGTTTAGTAAGTCACTGGTGTTTAACATTTTATTACCGGGAATTTTACTTCACATGTAATCCTGTATGTCGCTTTTATTTTTATTATTTTTATTATTATTATTATTATTATTATTATTATTATTATTATTATTATTATTATTAATATTATTAATATTAACATTATTAGTGTATGGGCCACTTCTGACCACACAACACATTTGTCTCTCCGAAGCCCAGTTGTATTCTGTCCTAGAGAGATCGTGTGGAATTATGGGGATCAGCCTTTCGGCTGCATCCCTTGCTTAAGACAAGGTTGTTGCCTATTAGTAATATTATTACTATCATTACTATTATTATTATTATTATTATTATTATTATTATTATAGGGCGATGATGAGGGGTGAAAGGACTAGGATGATGGTAGGAGGTGTTAGGTGGAGTAGTGGGAGGTGTGCTTGGGCTTTTGGATCCATTCCAGCATTCACTTTGTGACCGAGGGAAGTCATGAAAACCCCAGTCAGGATTGCCGGGCCGGAAATCAGACCCTGACCTCCTGATTGCGAATCCAGCGCGCTACGCACTGAGCCACTTCTATTATTGCTTGTTCCCTTATTATTAGCCCTTCGGGGTGCTTGTTTTCAGTGGGTCCCCTTGCCTCTCACTATCAGAGAGATGATTTTAGATGATTCTACAAATGCCTCAGCATTTATTTAAAGTAAGCGCTCCAAGTGATGCATTTGCGCGTGTGTTTGGCAGATCGAGCGCGAGGTGGTGCTGCCGGCGGCGGAGAAGAAGGACTCCAAGATCCCCATCCTGCACGAGTACACGCGTCGCCAGGCGCAGCTGCTGCAGGCCCAGGCCCAGGCGCAGGCCCAGCACGGGCTGCCGCTGCCCGCCTGGCTGCCCGACCCCGCCCCCGCCGACGCCGCCAAGCGACTGCAGGTATCTACGGGAAGGGACGGCTGCTTGGACAGCTAGTGCTGTGCCCGGCGGACTCTCCTTCCTCCTTTGCTTCGTTTGCGAATGGCTTCGGCGCTTCCTTTTCTCATGTCTTCGTCCGCCGAAAACATAGTGCGCCATGAGAAAGAGTTTTAATTAGGAACAACTGTGCTACTGCGCTTTTCTGCAAAAATTCTTTTTTTATAAACATTTCATTGAATTTATTTTTTTGTGTGATACGTAATGTGTTTATTGTAAAACAGAGTCGTCAATGTCAGACATGTACTGGCGCACGAGGTTCCTCCTGTGAGTGGAAGCTGTGATCGAGGACGTTCCGTGGTTTGAGTTGTATCAATTTATTTTTCTATATAATTACACGGTTGTGAACCATGAGGAGCCATGATGTCTTAAACGGGAGCCATTTACAAACATAAACACTTTACGAAGAGGCGCGGCTGAACAGCTGTCGCGGCGGAGGTATACTTCTCTGAATTACATGTGATGTTCACTTGTTTAGCGAACTTTTTTTTTGGCTCATTCTTAGGCGTATTCTTCTATATAGCGCTCGCAGCGCGCACTACTGCCTCGTTCACAACACGTAGACGAAACGTAGTCGCAAAACCTAGAAAATCGGGAAACGTGGCTCAACTGATGTTACTGCAGTGCCTCTGACCGGGCGGACAAAGGACACCACACCCGGCGGAGGCAGAACTTTCGACAAGCTAGGTCGAGTTCTGTGCCTGACTGGAAGGGAATTCTAGCGGCCGGATGCTCTGATGGGCAGTGTTCGGTCGCCGATCAATACCAGACGAATGCGCGAGCAGTACCCTAACTCGACCACGACAGCGCGCGATCTTTCCTTCCTCATCCTTGTCCTATATTTACTTCTTATTAACATTAACATGCACTACTCTACCACACGTGCCGGGACGGGAGCTTGCAGCTTGTCCCAGCTGGGAAGGTGTCCCGCTGGTTGGGGATACCTGGTTAGAGAGAAAAAACATTACCCGACGGAACGCATGATTAAAACCCACGTGTGCTTACAGGAGGCCATGGGCCAGGAGGAGGCGCGATTAATACCCGCGTGTGTTTGCAGGAGGCCATGGGCCCAGGAGGAAGGCGCGATTAATACACCGCGTGTGTTTGCGGAGGCCATGGCCCAGGAGGAGGGCGCGATTAATACCCGCGTGTGTTTGCAGGAGGCCCATGGGCCGAGAAGAGGCGCGATTATTATTCCTGCGTTGTTTGCAGGAGGCCATAGGCCGGGAGGAGGCGCGACTTAAATCCGCCGCGTGTGGTTGCAGGAGGCCAACTGGGCCAGGAGGAGCGCGATTAATACAGCGCGTGTGTTGCAGGCAGGCCATGGGTGCGCAAGAGGAGGCGGGCGACGGCCCGCCGGGCGGCGGGCGCGCCACGCGCTGTACAAGGCGCAGCCGCTGCAGATAGGCCGTCGCCCTCGCCTCGCCGCCGCGCCGCGAAGCCCCGCCGGCGCCCCGCGCCGCCCCCGGCGCGCCCCGGGCAAGACCACCACCACCTGCAGCTGATGCAGCAGCAGCAGCAGCGCGCGGCGCAGGGCCAGGGCCAGGGGCAGTACGCGCGGCCGGCGCCGCTGCACCAGGGCGCGCCCCCCGACGGCTCCGCGCCCGCCCCCAACCCCCAGCAACAGCAACAGCAACAGCCCGCCTACGCGCACTACAACGGGTGAGCGGGCCGACGCGCTGGGCACAGCGGCGCTACATTGCGGACGGATTCGTGCTGAGGGCACACGAGCGTCGCCGAACGGACGTTACAGCGTCCTTTCGTACCGCAATCAATTCGTACACAGTCTGACAAAATCGGGCGCGTTCAAACACTGGTGCTGGTAATGCTACGCGCACACGAGCGTCGCATGACTGCAGTTACATCGTATTTCTATGGACATTAGTAATCCGGGCACGTTGTAACAAACACATTCCAACGCAGATAAGACTGCGAGCAGACTGTCGCGTAACGGACGTTACCGCGCCCGTCTTTTTACGGACGTTAGTGCTACGGGCACCTATCACACACACATTCAAACGTGCTGATAAGGCTGCGGGCACACGAGCGTCGTGAAACGGACGTACAACGTCCATATTTTACGTGTTTCAGTAGTCCCGACACGTTATAACAATCACATTGAAACACTTGCTGATAAGGATAAGGGAACACTAGCTTCGCGTATTGGTCGCTATAGCGCCTGTATTTTCACCGACGTCACTTCGTGAACAGAGCGTTTGACGTTAGACGTCTAACGTTATCGGCGCTGAAAGCACTGGAGGTTGTTGCATTAGTACCTTGCCTCCAAAATTGCTGAAAAGACGAAAATTTGATGATAGGTCCACCCTCTGAACAGCCAGCGTAAGAGGCTACAAGTCCGTCGCCTAGCGTTTAACGTCTGTTGGCCTATTGGTGGCGTCCGTTGCCTCCAACGGACGTCGCGCAGCGTCGTCGCGTTTGTGTGCCCCCATTCGTGTCTGTAAGATGTGCAACGGACGTATTTTCAAGTCATTTACAGTGCGGTCGTGTGCCATCGGCGTAAATGGAAATAGTCATAGTAAAACGCGAACTATCTCTTCCGACGGCTGCCGAAAACATCGGCTGTCTGAAAAAGATCTGTTTCGTTCGGTTTTCCTCGCCCGACGTCGGTCCGCCGAAATTTCCGCCAGCACCATTTTCGGCTCCACGTGACCGCCCAAGGGTCCCTTCACACGGAGCCACTGGGCAACGCCACTGAGTCGCCCTTCACATAGCCACTGCGCGTGGGGACGTCACGCCTCTAAGAGTGTAAGGCGCAAAGGGCCAGGCTCAGTGACGCGTCCGAGTGGTCTAGTGTGAAGGCTGCTCTCTAGGATTCTGTGGCGGTAGCGTGGTGGCGCGTGTGCGCTGCTGGTGGTCAGGGTGCGCCGCTACGCGTCTCGGCGGCGCAACTGTGGGGATATCTCCAGTTAAACCAATGCTTTGCCAACGGACCGCCACTCGGAAACGCTGCCAAGTGGCTCCGTGGGAAACGAATGTGCGCATGCGCAGTGCAGCTTCGATTATGGGATTCAGAAGTCAGATTGCGCATACGCATAGATTCAAACACATACGTTGCTCTGGGTTGTATGTCAGTCTGTGCTGTGTGTGTTTGATGCTCTGTATGGTGTGGTGTGGGTGGGAGCGCTGACGTTGCCCTTGTGTGTACGTGTGTTGCTCTGTGGTGTGGGGGGTGGGTTGGTCTGCGGCGTGTGAGTGTTGGTCTGTGGCGTTTGAGTGTTGGTCTGTGGCGTTTGAGTGTTGGTCTGTGGCGTGTGAGTGTTGGTCTGTGGTGTGTGGGTGTTGGTTTGAGATGTGTGTGTGTGTGTAGGTCTGTGTTGAATGTGTGTATGTGTTGGTCAGTGGTGTGCGTGTGTTGGTTTGATGTGTTTGTGTGTGTGTGCGTGTGTAGATCTGTGTTGTATGTGTGTATAGGTCTTTGGTGTATGTGTTTATAGGTCTATGGTGTATGTGTATGTAGGCCTGTGCTGTATGTGTATTTAGGTCTGTGTTGTATGTATGTATATATGTTTTGGGCTGTTGTATGTGTATGTGTGTTGGTCTGTGGCGTGTGTATGTATGTGTATTGGTCTGTGGTGTGTGTGTGTATGTGTGTTGGACTGTGGTGTGTGTGTGTATGTGTGTTGGACTGTGGTGTGTGTGTATGTGTGTTGGTCTGTGGTGTGTGTGTTGGTCTGTGGTGTGTGTGTTGGTCTGTGGTGTGTGTGTTGGTCTGTGGTGTGTGTGTGTGTTGGTCTGTGGTGTGTGTGTGTATGTGTGTTGGTCTGTGGTGTGTGTGTGTGTGTGTGTGTTGGTCTGTGATGTGTGTATGTGTGTTGGTTTGAGGTGTGTGTGCGTGTGTGTGGCGGGAGCGCTGACGCGGCCGTGCGTGCGTGCGTGGCAGGGTGGGTGCGTCGACGGGCGCCATCCCGCGCTCCCAGTGGCAGCAGCCGCAGCCCCATCCGGCGGCGCAGCAGCGAGCGGCGCAGGCGCTGCAGGAGCAGGAGCGCATTGAGGAGGACAACAGCGCCAACGACACCAAGGACCCCGCGCAGCACCAGCCCGCCCCGCACGCCGCCGCCGCCGCCGCCACCGGGTCAGCACCATTTCTTAATACGTCCACACACCAGGTTGCGGAGGCAAAGTCAAAATGGTTCGGTCAAATGTCGCAGGCTACACTCGGCTCATGCTGCGATACGATTTATTCGTTTTAATGATTATCCGAAAATATAGTGCTTGGTCACAAGTTGAAATTAATTGTTATTGAAACATTTTAGAAAGGGGAAATTTCCCTCATTTCTGTCCCCGTGGATCCGCGCCTGCTACCACTTTGTTTTTACGAATAGGTCGCCTGGGACCACGTGTGTATGCCACCACATTTAGTTGGGCTCATTAGTAACACGATCTCGGTAGCAGGTGCATGTATTTTTTTAATCAGAGGATCAGCATTTAGTTGGATCCGATTTCTATCCGTCAGGGTTGGTAGACCTGGAGGAATGGCAGATTAACTGCTGATGTTAGTGAGGGGCGAAAGGACGCGCATACAGACACACAAACCGAAATACACCCATGACCGAGGCGGGACACAAACCTTGTGGTCCGATCTTGTGGTCCGAGACAGCTATAATCTTTAATTTTGTTAGTACAATATAGTAATATTACTCAATTAATAATATGCCAAGTAACATCCATGCATGAAATATTTGTAAACTATTGTCTAAAGCGTGTAGGGTCAAATCTAACCCCAAACAGTAAGTAATGAGTAATAAGAGTCAAAGTTTTTAAACGACTGCGACTTTTCCAACTCTGCCCCTGGTAGATATCAGCTGTTGACAGTTTCATCTGATCGGGAGCTTGAACGTCCCAATAGAGACGACACTATGACGATGTTGAAGCTTCCCATTGGATGAAACCGTCAGCAGCCGATACCTTCCAGGGGCGGAGTTGGAAACGTCGCAGTGTAGAAGAAGCAAGTGGGGTACCAAGTGCGAGAGTGTGTTGCAGGGAGAAGGGGAAGGCGTTTCCGTCGAGGACCTACCACACCATCAAGGACATGCTGTCCAGCCGCTTCGGCGCGTCGCCCTCTCCGGCCTCCGCCGCCGCCAAGGCCCCCGCCCACGCCTCCAAGGAGCAGCAGGGGGCGGCGGCGGCGGCCGCGGAGGGCGAGGCGGCGGGGGCCGGGCCCGGGGCGGCGGCGGCGGCGGCGGAGGCGGGCGCCAAGGCCCTCAACAACCACCCGCAGCCTCCCGTCGCTGCCCCCGCGCCGCGCCCGCAGCACCTCCAACAACAGCAGCAGCAGCAGCAGCAGCCCCAGTAAGAAGCCTTCTCCTCGTGCTCTTTCTGCATCCAGAGCTTCTCGGTTCTCCTTTTTTCTCCCTCTTCTTCTTCAGTTTACGCATTCACCTCTTCTCCTGTTTCTTTTTCATCTACTTCTTCTTTCGTTTCTTCCGCTTCTTCTCCTTCAGTTACTTCATCATCTTCTCCTTGTCTTCTTCCGCTTCTTCAGTTTCTGCATTCTCTGCTTCTCCTTCTTCTTCTTCATCTACATCTTCTCTCATTTCTTTCGTTCTTTTATCTTCTTCTCGAGTATCTCCTTGTTTTCTTACGCTTCTTCAGTTTCCGCATTCATTTGTTCTCGTGTTTCTTCTTCTTCATCTACTTCTATTTCTTCCACTTCTTCTTTTCTTACTTCACCTTCTTCTCCAGTTTCTTCTTCTGCTTTTTTTCTTCTTGTTTCTTCTGTTTCTTTTCCTGTTTCTACTACTGTTTCTTCTTTGATGTCTTGTGCTTCTTGAAATTCTTGACCTTCGTGTTGTGCTGTTTGTTTATGTTTCTTCTTCTTCTGCTTCTTTTGTTTCTTTATTTCGTTCTGCTCCTTTTCTTCTTCTATATCTGTTTCTTCTTGTTTCTTCATTTCTTCTTCTGCGTCTTTTATTTTTTCTTCTTTTTGTTTTCTTCTTCTTAAGTGACCCGCTGCAGGTATTGGCGTACCAAAAAATTGGACGAACTCGGAAACAACTAAATTCTTATACTCTCTTTTTTTAGTTTTCTGATGACAGGTATTAGACACGTTATTAAACCGTCAGTATAGAGCAGGGCCCTCTTCAACTAAAACGAAATACGGCTGTACCTTCTCGTCGGTTCGCGGATGTTACATTCCGTCGTGTCTCAAGAGCTTCTGGTGGTCAGGGCTGCCGTTGCTCCTGCAGCGGCGTTGGCTCGGAGGTCGTAGGGTTTGAGTTCCGATGGTGGCAGGAGTTTCGATCCTAGCTAGGGAGCTAAGTTAGATTCAGCCGCTGTCTGCAGGAGTATTATGGCTGATATGATCGGTATCTTTCAATGGTTTCTTCTATCAATACCAGGCGAATGCCGGAGCAGTTCCCTAACAAACGGGCCACGGTCTGCTCGCGGTTTTACCTCTTCCCCCCACACACACACGCGCATACACACACACGCACATTTACCTGCACCACACTGCAACCCATATCGGGGAGTCAATCGGGAGACTAGAGCTTGTACGGCTGGGGGATACCCGGAAGTGGAAAAAACCCTCAGGCCGATGTGTAGATCGGCGCCGGATCTAGTCACGCATGGGAAGAAACACCGCCACCTCCAAGCGGCTGCAACGGGAGCGATGGCCGCAGCAGGTGTGGTGCCGCGTGTGCGCTCGCGTGGCTGTGGTGCGGTGCACGGCCTTTCAACTCCCATATAAATAACGTGGTGGAAACCGTAACGGTGGCACGCTCTGCCGCAGCAACTGCTTAAAAGAACTAAAAAACGAACTGCTGCCAACGGTACTTAAAACGTCCGTAAATAAACGTGCTTAAAACTAGGCGCAAGCATGCCCATAATGTTACAAAACATAGCGTCGATGTTCGGTCTTTCTTCGGAGATTTCTTTTATGTATATATTATGAATAATTGAACATTTAAAAGACACTTTTCGCATTTCTCACAAATTAGCCAATTTTCCTAGACGAAAGATGGCTAGCCTGACCTGCAGCGACACTAGCGCCTCCTGTAGTAGCACCTTCCAGCTTTGCCCCCGGTTTCGATGGAGAGTCGCAAGTCCTCGGTGCGGTGTGATGCGCAGGGAGGCGAACCGAGGCCGCTTCGAGCAGCCGGGCTACGCCCCCGCCGCCTCCGCAGCCTACCACCAGGCGCAGCAGCAGCAGCAACAGCAGCAGCAGCAGGGGCTGTACCACGCGGCGGCGTACAGGCCCGAGTACGCCGCGCCCCTCCACCCCTCCCAGCAACAGCAGCAGCAGCACTTCGCGCAGCAGCAACAGGTACGGCGCCTCGCGAGTAATGGTAGAGTGCGCAGCAGCAACAGGTACGGCACCCCGCGAGTAATGGTAGAGAGCGCAGCAGCAACAGGTACGGCGCCTCGCGAGTAATGGTAGAGAGCGCAGCAGCAACAGGTACGGCGCCCCGCGAGTAATGGTAGAGGGTGTGTGCGCTAAGAAAGGGCCGTTTCGATAGCTAGTACTGGCAACGTAACTGACGGTTCTGTGGTCCTTGTGTTCTTCAGCCAATTGGACTCTCCGTTCGTTCGTTTGCAGTTGGCAAACTTGTAAATGGCTTCGACGCATCCTTTTGTGGTGTCCTCGACCGACGAAAATATAGTTCGCCACGAGAAATAATTGGAATTAGGAAGTGCAGTGCTACTGTGCTCTTATTATTTTTTGTAAACACTGCGTTGAAGTTAGTGTGATAAATATTATGTTAATTTGAAAACAGAGTCTTGAATGTCAAACACTTCCTTACGAACGACTTTCCTGCTTCTGTGCGATAAAGTGGCGAGCTGTGATCGAAAACCTTCCGTGGTTTGCTTTGTATCAACTAATTTTTGTATATAATTACAGGGTTGTGAACCATGAGAAGTTACGATGTCTTAACGAGAGTCTAATACAAGCATTAACACTTTAGGAAGAGGCGTGACTGAAAAGCTGTCGCGGCGGAGGGACACTTCTTTCAATTTCACGTGATTTTCATTTGTTTACCGAACTATCGTTTTGTCTTATTTTTAGTTGATACGTCTAAACATAGCGGGTTGCAGTGATCAGTGTCTCCTAGCAAGGGGGTAATTCGATAAAATACCATAAAATAACAAACGGAATGCTTTGCGAGGACGTGGAAAGTATTTTGTAAGATACATAGATCCATGGGAAAGTGCGATTATTCAAATGCATACATGGTATGCTACTTGTATATTATCAGTAACAACTTTGATGTGGTTAAGAAGTTGTAACTAGTAAACTGTAAGACAGATGTGTTGCAAATAAATTGTTCTTTTTTGTTATCGAGAAAGAACGTGTATTTTCTCAAAGAAGAAGCGATCGATGGGAAGTCGATGACAAGTAACTGTGTCGATACAATAACCAGGGCTTCGATGTACAGTCGACTGTTGTTATCAGAGCCTCGAAGGCGGCGGTGCCCAAAACGTGGGCCGTGGCCTGCAGGTAGACCGCGCGTAGCGACGTAGTGGCTGCAGAAGGCGAGGCAAACGTCGAAGTGTGAAGAAGTCCACATAAAGAAAATGAAAAACTCTCTTAAATGCTTTTGCAAAAGACACACCTCTGCTGCCCGTTTCATATCACTGCGCTAGAAAACTTTAAGTCGGTCGCAAAGTAGTTGTTTTCTCTGTTTTGTCGCCAAGGAAATGTTTGCCTTGTCTTTGGCTGCCGCCTGTACCACCGGCAGTGCGCCTTGGCATTCAGTCTAACTAGATGCTTGTAATAAATAAACATCCGGGTGCCCTCCTAGCAAACGTGATGAATGAGGCTGCTTCATTTTGCCTGCAGCAGCAGCAACAGCAGCAACAGCAGCAACAACAGCAGCAGCAGCAGGCGGGAGGGGGGTACTACCTGCCAAGCAACAGCAACCGCTCGGCGCTTGAGCAAGCGGGCATCTACATGGTGATGCGGCAGCCCCCGCCGCCACAGCAACTCGCCCACCAGCCCCTGCAGCAGCAGCAGCAGCAACACCTGCAACAGCAGCACCTGCAGCAGCAGCAGGCGCTGCAGGGCCCGTACGGGGGCTCCACCCCCGCCCCGGCCCAGGCGCCTCCCCCGCCGCCCGCCGCGCCGCCCCCGGTACGTACGCCCACTTGACATGAACAGCTGAAGTCGGTACACAAATTTAAGATAAAAGGAAAATCTTGTCTGCTCCATGACTGTTTCTGTACAATACAACATGGCGCGCGGCGATGGTGTAACGGTTCGTATACCGAGCCGTGGATTTTTAAGGGCCAAAGAATCCTTCGTACGCCTTCCTTCGGAGGGGAAGTAAAGCCGGCTGTCCCATGTTAGTAGATTTACTTGCATGTAAAAGATCCTCAAGTCTAAATGACATCATTGATCTAAATTCAAAAATTGCCTGTTTCTCGCCCAAGAAATACCTTCTTCCTCTGCTAGTTGGTGAAAGGAGCATAGGGAAATTTGCGTGGTCAGACGGAAGAGCGGGCCTGATGGCCCGAGTCTCGCCACGTAAAATAAGGCATTAATTCAATTCTATTCTATTCAATTAGAGGCTATACTGATCATCAAAAAGCAATTGGATAATCAGAAAGGAAGTCATTACGATGCAGATTTCGTTATGACACAGGTTCTTGACCTATCACACAGAGAAGTTGACTTACCAAGTGTTGGCAATTAATCATTGCGAATCGTTCTAGTAAATGTGTTGTTCGATTGTGTCATTAAAATTGTATTTAATATTATATTATGCTTGACAGTTATAACTTCTTTTACTTTTAGTATTATTCGTGGAATATTATTTAAAATAAATACGATCGTAATTTCACTTTGATCCTATTGTAAAAGTTTAACTAATACAAGTTACCACAAGTCGTAGAAAAAGTACCATATTAAACTTGATATACGAGAATGAGTAATGAGTATTAATAATAATGATTAATTATCATTGCACTGGTCTACAACAATACTGATTTTCTGTAAAAGAATAGTACAAACTGTTTCTGGAAGCTAATTTGCTTCTCAACTTACATCCAATTTTTGTTTCGACCTCAGTTTACTAGTACCTGACGATGTTTTTTTTAATTGCGTATGTGTCCATATGTTTTATATGTATCTGGCAAAATGGCACGCTCTAATAACAGAATGACAGGTATACAGTAAGAAATGAATCAAAATATTTGTAAAGAAAAGTGAAGAGAAGACTTAAAATGTTGGGTCTGAATGGATATCTTCTCCTCTGCCTTTTGAGTGATTGTCACTGTTGCATTCATCTTCCTTCACTGGTACGTTCTGAGGATAAGTGGTACTGTCAGTTCTTCATTGCGGCATATAATCATTAT